GCTTATTGGATAAGTCCACCTCACGGCGCACGCACGCTTTTCCCGTGCATCTGACTTTGTTGCAAGATCAACCAATAGTCGACGACCTCGTGGACATCTCGAGTTTTCGACCACTCGGGCTTGATTGACGCCTTGCCTGCTGCAGCCTTGTTTTCATCTCGCCTCACCACCACATTCTGCATGTGTAAAGCAAGTCCCCCGCATGCGCGAAGCAAATGTTGTCCCGCACGAGTTCGTCGGTTTCCGCGCATGGATAGAGAAACCCTTCTCGCCTTGTGTTTGCCGCACCGCCATTTTCTCGAGACATAACGGCTGTAGATGGGAAACCCCTACCGTGCGTCCAGCAGCTTTTCCGAGCACCACCTTGTCTTCTGCCCAGAAATACCTTTTTTTATGGGATAGGTTCCAGTATTACTTTCAGACAAACCCCTTTTGATGTGACTTTCACACTCCTGAAGCCACCTTGAAACACTGGGGGGAAGAACCTCTGAATCCATTCGTCAAATGGGATAATACCAATTATGATGAGCCAATTCTACATCGAACCTCCGCGCAAATTCCAGAAGCTTTCCCCCTCCGCGTTCCCCTCCCCACTCCCCCTTCCATGTCCCCCTTCCATCACCTCCGATGGACAGACACCCCCTCAGCGGACCTCCGTTGCAACTCTCCCACCTCTTTTCCGTTACGTCGCTCACACCGATTTACTATAAGAACCTCGGCAGTATGGAGGTAAGCATTCTCAGAGACCAAGAGTGCGAATTGAAAGAATTTGGGTTGCAGCTCGCCGTGTGCTCGAACTCCCCATTTTCGTTTCTTACTCAACGGTCGAGGGGTCACCTCTCGCGCGGCTACTTCCGTCTTGCGAGGGCTTGCTATTCAAGCTGACTTCATCAATCGAGCTTCTTCGTCGCTTCTACAAGAATGAGTTTCATCGAGAAGGTCTGGAGTGAAGTCATGGGAAGCTCCCCGCAGCTCCCTTCATCCTTGGACAAGAGCATCTCAATTTCTCCTAGAAGCTCTCTGGAACGTTACGACAGTGCGGGAAGCCCGCTTTCCCCTTCGAATGAAGGCCCATATCATGGTACGCAAGCCAAAATTGCAAATGGAGGACGTGCTGTTCCGCTTTCGCTATGACACCGTCTGATTTATGCTGAATTGTCCGTCAATTTTGCTCAATTCATCTATTCTTGCGTTTTGCATTGGATGCAGGAATTCCACCACTGAATCTCGACGAGCGGCGTAAGAGCGCGGATATGGCGTCTGACGGTCGGACAGTGATGCCGAGAATCACCAAGAGCATCTCCATTGCTACACAGCAGCCAAAGACGGCTCGCCGGCTCGACACGTCTCGTTCTCTGCCAGCTCACTACGACACTGGCCTTTCCAACTTGCCTTCCCCCGGTACGTTCCACTGCGACCCCTCTGTTATTCTACTGAATTGATGCACTTACGTTCGTATTTCACACGGTTTTCTTGAATTGCACCTGACTGACGTTTCGTCTCGTTTCTTACGTCATGGATGGATCTTAATTATTACAGCGTCACGCAAGGGAGAGAACGTCTGGCGCAGTGTGTTTCACCCTGGAAGCAACAAGGCTGGGATGGACCGCGTTGGTGCTACCAGATTTGACAAGGCTAGCTCGTCGGAGCCGTCCGTGTTCGACTGGTATAATCCGCTCACGATCTGAGCGTCCAGACCCCTGACGCAATGTAATGTCTTATGGGCTCCCTGTTTTTGCGTTCTGATGTTCGTTATATCCGTGTCGTTCTTTTGTTCCGTTTTACGTTCCTGATACCGTTCTTAGCTATGCTAAGTGATTTTTTCATTTCTGATGTTATTCGCCTTGTTTTACTTTCAGGATGTACAACCCCAAGACGAAGTCGCAGTACCGTTAGAGCAACGTCACAAGTGGAGATGCTTTTGCAGCTGACGAAGCGGACAACATCAAGTGACATTGGAACCTCACGATTTCCAATAAAGATTCGAGCGGTTTTTATGGCAGTGAATACTGGGGCTGAAAGCCCTATTGTACATTCTGTACATGTGCTGCCTGCGCCCTCTACTGCATCAACCAAGAGGGCGGTAAAGCTGCTGAGGGTGCTGAATCAACATCTGCTAACAAGTGTGAAACCTCCGAGTTTCCCTGTGCTGATGATTCCGAGGGCACCATCACCTACCAGAGGCTTGACTTGCTTGAAGAAGAAATTGATGGTACGGATATCCTTGTTCGCGGCCGCACTCTTAGCAACACGTATGAGGGCGAGTTTCCTGCTGTCATCGAGGGAGCTTATAACGAGGATGGAGGGGAAACGGTAGACAATACAGATGAAGCAGGGAATGTGGTGGGTTCAGGGTTAGGGGACAGGAGAAGGGTAGGAGCAGAGGCAGGAGCAGAGGCAAGAGCAGAGGCAGGAGCAGAAGCAGGAGCAGAGGCAGGAGCAGAGGCAGGAGCAGCATTCATGCTGAGTCCTCCTGTGTCCCACAGGCTCTCCCATACGTCACACCTGGCTCGACTGCCACGTCAGCCACATCAGCACCACGGCAGTGCCTCTTCTGCATCGCATGGTGCTTGTGACAGGAGCAGTTTCGCTGTGAAAGAACGTGATGCTGGCCCTGCTGTTGAATCGTGTTGACGATCTACCGTATATGGTGTGGGTGGGCACTGGGCCGTGCATAGAATGTGTCGGACGCCACGGCCGCACTGCCAACACACTTTAGCTGTAGAGCTTAACGGTACAGCTTGATTATTGACGCTGCCCGCAACGGCGATGAAGACCGGTATTTGTTACTTGTGGGTTTCAAAAAGGCTCTGATTCGGTCTCAAAGGAGCTTATCTTCACGGGCCTTGAGGATAATATGCCTCCACAGAGGCACACGGACAGACCTGGTAATTAACTGGTGGAGGTGTTTTTTGGGGTTCGGCAAGGTTGCCCCCTCGCACCCTGTCTCTTCCTCTATAGTGAGCATTGGCATAGGAGGCCGCAGGTTGGTTTTTATAAACGGAGCAGTTAGCGTTTGATGAAGTACAGCACAAGACTGAAGTATATTAATGGTCATCTTGTGTATGTGCTGGCATTTTTGTGGTGTGGTTGTATGAATTTGTAAGGGGATTTGTGTATTAAGGCTCTTTGTGTAAGGATTTTTCCTTTATCCTTACCGGGGTTGACTGCTACGCGTACAACCCCGATTTTCGGACTTCGCACGTTCGGCCGACATCAATGATGCCGAGGCTCCTCCGCGTCGCCTTCGGCTTTCCGTCGCCAAACCTGGACTTAACCTCGTTTCCCGAGGTTCCCTCATAGCTAGGGTAGTCACTACATAGTCGCGTGCTTTCATTGTAATCGACAGTTCATTAAGTCACAGCTTCGTTAATCGTTATTCCGCGCACTCTCCATTACAACTCATAACACTTTGGGTCTAGTATTGCCACCCTGTGGGTTGAGTTGTCAGGTGTTGCTTGTAACGAAGCTAGTCTCGCTATCTCGAAGTTTTATTGGAGACAATAATTTACTGCTTGAAAGTCCCGCACCGCATTTCACGGATGTACCTCCTAAACATTGAATTATTGGTGGCCGTGCATACACACTGTTCAGGAACGCCTTGCATCGTATCTAACCGAGCAATGTACCGGTTTTCCCGTTTTGAACGCCCTATTTGCGTGATACATGGGAAGTATCTGTACAGGCAGAGACTTCAGCCCATCACCCCTGCATCCACACTCTGCCCATCTTTGTGAATTCATTACGAATTCACTCCACCCAAGGCAGCCCATTTGGCAACCCTGAGTTCTATAGGCTTGATATTCTTCCAACTGTGCCGAACTAACGCTGCAATAGAGCGCGCTTCAGTGCCATAGAAGCGGCTAAACGTTGAGCTGCGCACAAGAAGCAGCGTCGCACCCGTCGCAGGCTCTATGTCGCACAGTCGCGGAGGTAGTGTATGTGGCTCTCCACGTTGAGGTTTAACTCGAAGGAGCTATCGCAATAAAACCTTCGCGGAGAGTTTGCCGCTCCACCCGCAGCGGCTGTTGCGTTGGTGTTTGTGGGCTACTAGCTCTTGGGCTCTCGACTGGCAAGCACGATGACTGTTCCTCGTGATGGTCAACGCGAAAGTCAACGCGGAGGTCAACGTGAGGGTCAGAGTCAACGCGAGGGCCAACGTGAGGGTCAACGCTTCTCGCTATCCCGAGCCCCGCCTATCGCCGCCGTAGGTGAGCTCTCATATTTCAAAGCAGATGTTTGTGTGGATGCCACTGTTGCCACTCATGCCACTGATGCTCAATTCCTTCCCTACCTCCCAACCCCATGCCGTTCCCCTGACTGCTTGCTTCCCTCACTGCCTGTTTTTCTGATTGCCTTGCTTGCTTCCTACCCGTTCCCCTGAATGCTACCCTGTCTTCGTCACTCTCTCTTCTCTCTCCCTCTCTCCCCTCTGCCGTCCCTCGTGCATGCAGCAGCGCTTCTCGCCTTTGTGCTGCCGTCCCTCGCTCTCGCCAGCAGCACGGGGGAAGGTGAGCCCACACATTACCGGAATCCGCTGTGTCTACTGCTTCTCTTGTGTCTGCTGGTTCTCGCTTGTCTCCGCAACTTCCCCCCTCTCCCATTTCCCCTCCTTCCCTCCCTCTCTAGTTCCCTCCTCCTTTCCCCCACTCCCTCTCTCCATTTTTCCCCTACTCCTACTCCTAAGTCCTCATTCCTCTCTCTCTCCCACCTCCATGTCTTCATTCTTCCCTCTCTCCCGCTCCCCCTATCTCCATTCTTCCCACTTTCCCACCCTCTCCCACCCTCATCGCTCCTCGTCTCCCTCTTGTGATTCCCTCTCCCACCCCCATCGCTCCTCTCCGTCCCTCAATTCTCCGCTCCCTCTTGTGATTCCCTCTCTTGTAATTCTCCGTTCCCTGCAGCTCCCTTCGCCGCGCAGCTGCTGAACGCCCGTGGAATGACTGTTGAGGCACCTCAAAACTTATCACTCCTCGCCTCCCCCTTGTGATTCCTTGCAGCTCACTTCGCCGCGCAGTTGCTGAGCGCCCGTGGAATGAGAGGCACTATAAGCATATCCGTTTCAAGGTGAAAAGCGCTCTATTTGACCGGCATGCCGCATCTCGTATCGTTCGCATTGCACGGCTTCACCTCCTCGCTCCTCCCGTTGCTTCCCTTCGCGTAACATCGTTCTACCCCCCACCCTCCCTTGCTCGTCCGTGAATCTCACTGCTTGCATCAAGCGGTTGATGATTAACCGCCCCCCTGAGACTCACGAGAGTTCCCCAAGCCGCCCCTCGACCATCCAGCTGCTTTCTTTGGTCTCCCATTTCCCCTCGACTTCCCCGTACCTTCCTCCCCCTCTCCCATCCCCTCCCCTCTTCTCCTCTCCCCTCGCCCCTCACCTCCGCTCCCCCTCACCTTCTCTTGCCCGGAAAGCAAAGGTCCATATCGCGAGGCGCAGCTCCCCGCTGCTGCCCCCCACCTACACCGTCACCTACACCGTCCAATTCGGTGCCGCCACCACTGCTGCCCACTCCCCTGCCCTCCGCTACCCCTCCCCGTCCCCTCCTCCCCCCCTTTCCCTTCGTGGTTTTCGCAGGTCCATATCGCGAGGCACGGCCCCGGCCTACACCATCCGCTTCGGTGCCGCCGTTGCTGGCGCCCACTCCCCCCCAAGCAACCTCCTCCTCTCGCTGCCACGTGGCGCGCCGCCATTGGTCCTGTGCGGGAAAGTCTCTGCTGGGTCTACTGGTTCTGCCGGTGCTGCTGGGTGCCAGTGGGTGGCAACGACGCCGTCCGTGTGGGAGGTGACAGGGGAGAGGAGAATGAAAGGAGTGGATTTTCGGCAGGGGAGGGCGCTGGAAGAAATACTGAGGGGAGATGAGGAGGAGAATGAGGAGGGGAATGAGGAGGATATGACCATTAGGATGGGGAGTGGGGAGGATATCACTGTAAGGATGGGGAATGAGGGGCATGGTGATCTGGTGGGAGCGCTACGGAGAAGCCGCGAGTACAGTCACGGTACGTTCTGAGGTGAGGTGAGGTGAGGTGAGGTGGGGTGAGGTGAGGTGTGGTGCGGTGCGGTGCGGTGAGTTGCACTTGTTGAAAGGTTCATAGAAATGTTTGCCTCTCGTCATGGTATTACTGTAGCTGCATTGTTCTGACACGAGCGACTTCAGTTGGCTTGCTACGATCGAATCCGCCCGTAAACAACATCGCTGAATTGTTCTGACTTGCTTGGTGATGCCACTTCCCCGCCCGCTTCATCCCCTCTCTCTCCCTCTCCTCCCCAGGCCCCCTGCCCACTTGGCTTTTTATTCTTGAAAAGCAACCCCTACCCCAATTTTAGCTCAAGCCATCGTGATCGCCTTGCGTGCCCATATTATCCACTCTGCACCTCGTCCGTTCCTTACCTCTCAACCCCTGTCATCTCTTGCTTTCCCTCCCACCCTCCCACCCCTCCGTCACTCCCTTCCCTCCCCACCCCTCCCATTCCCCTCCTCTTCCCTTCCCTCTCGTCCATCCCCCATCCCCCATCCCCCCTCCTCCCACTCCAGACATCATCATTCCGCGCTACCCCCCACAGGACCCGCGCCTGGAAGTGCGGCTGGAGGGGGAGATGGGTGAGATGGGGGAGGCGGGGGAGGGACTCGCAGCGGGCATGCGCGGAGGGGCGTTTATGCTGGGGGCGTTCAAGTAAGATGATTCTTGCTGATCCACTATTGTTGCTCGTTTCTAAATGAAACAAATTAAACTTGAAGACTGGAAGCTGTGTGGATGCACTAAGATGATCCCAAACTCGTAAATTCAACAGTTTTTGCAGGTGAAACTTGTAGTTTTTTTATCAACAGTTTTATATTCAACAGTTTTTTATTCAACAGTTTTTGCAGGTGAAACTTGTAGTTTTTTTACCTTCTGCATATGCATTTCTTTTTTCCCCCTTTGCGGACAATCTGCCGACCATCCACACACTGTCGACCATTCACTCTCTGCCGTCCATTCACACTCTGCTCTCATGCTCTCTCTAGTTCCCACTGCTCCCTCTGTTCGTCTTATGCCCACATGGTACTGAATCAATACATCTGCTTCCTTTATTCCCGATGCTTCCCTTCCCTTCAGGGACGGCCACGTGGTGGTGAATTATGACATCCGCGTTATTGGCATTGTGCAAAAACCTTCTCACTATTTCCCACTGCTCCCTCTGTTCCTCGTCCTTTTCTTTCTTTCAGGGAAGGCCACGTGGTGGTGAATTACGACATCCGTGTCATCGGCCCAACTCAAAAACCTTTTCTTTGAGGAACCTGAAAGACCGTCTCAATCTGTTCCCTTTGTTTCTCTCCTCGTCCTTCTCTCTTCCCTCAGGGACGGCCACGTGGTGGTGAATTATGACATCCGTGTCATCGGTCCCGTGTTTTATTCTCACTGCTTCCCACTGCTCCCTTTGTTCCTCATCTTTTTCATTCTTCTCCTCCCTCAGGGACGGCCACTTGGTGGTGAATTACGACATCCGCGTTATCGGCCCCGCTCAAAAACCTTTTCTTTGAGGAACCTGAAAGACCGTCTCAATCTGCTCCCTTTGTTTCTCTCCTCCTCCTTCTCTCTTCTCCAGGGACGGCCACGTGGTGTTGAATTATGACATCCGCGTTATCGGCCCCGTGCAAAAACCTTCCGCCATCAATCTCCTCGTTGATTACCCCGACCCGACCTCGTTACAAGTCGCCGTGCTACAGTGTGACTCGTGGGCGGAGGTGAAACCGCAGATGTGGCGGGCGCAATGCAGCAGCAGGTGGAGCAGCAGCTGCAGTGAGAGCAGCGGCAGCAGTGCTGGCTCTTCTTCGCAAGGGCGTGTTCAAAACATGTCTGAGGGCGTGTTCAATAGGTTCGCTTGCTTCGCCGTGGACGGTGAGAGGTCTCCCAATGTGGCCGTGCTGTCAGTGGCAGTCGGTGCAATTGGCCAGGCAGGTGTGGCAGGCATTGAAGGTGGCTCGCTCGTGGGAGGCATAGCCTGGAGGGGACTTTTGAGGCGCCTCAAAAGCCAGGCAGGTGTGGGAGGCATTGAAGCTGGCTCGCTCGTGGGAGGCATAATCTGGAGGGCGCCACTTGGGGATTTGGAGCAGGGTGAGCAGCAGGGGGAGCAGCAGGGGGAGCAGCAGGGGGAGCGGCAGGGGGAGCAGCAGGGGGAGCGGCAGGGGGAGCAGCAGGGGGAGCAGCAGGGGGAGCAGCAGGGGGAGCAGCAGGGGGAGCAGCAGGGTGAGCAGCAGGGGGAGCAGCAGGGGGAGCAGCAGGGTGAGCAGCAGGGGGAGCAGCAGGGGGAGCAGCAGGGTGAGCAGCAGGGGGAGCCGAGTGGAAGTGGAGGTGCTACAACCGTGGCTGCTTCTTCTCTCATAGTCTCTGCTGAGAGTGCTGAGAGTGCTGAGGCTGGTAAGGGTGCTGATGCTTCCGGGGGTGCTGAGTCAGCGACTGCGACCAAGTGTAAAACTTCCGAGTTTCCCTGTGGTGATGATACTGAGTGTGCCATTACCTACCAGAGCCTTGTCTCTCTTGAAGCAGAAATTGATGGTACGGATATCCTTGTTCGTGGCCACACTTTTCAGCGACACGCACAAGGGCGGGTTTTCTACTGTCGTCGAGGGAGCTTATAAAGAGGATGAAGGGGAAACGGCTGAGAATACTGAAAAAGCAGGGGATGTGGTGGGTCCAGGGTTAGGGGACAGGATACACGTAGGAGCAGAGGCAGGAGCAGCAGCATTCATGCCGAGTCCTCTTGTGGCAAACAGGCTATCCCATACGTCACACATGCCCCGACTGCCACATCTGCTACTGGTATATCAGCACCATGGCAGTGTGTCTTCTGCACCGCATGATGCTTGTGACAGGAACAGTTTCGCTGTGAAAGATCATGTTGCGGGTACTGCTGTTGAGTCGTGCTGACGATCTTGTCAAGAGATAGCATCTTAGACTTAGGAGGAGCTGGAACTCAGGAGGAAGTAGGATTTGGGGTTGATTGACGAGAATCATGTCGATAAGAATTGGAAAGGAGAGGTTCACTAAGAAAAAACGAGTACAAAATATAGTAGAGAGAGCAAGAGCTAAGGTGCACCACCAGGACAATAGGAACTACACTACAGTAAATCCTACAGGCAGTGATAAAACATAACATATTAATGATATTTTCAGAGAGATCTGCATGCGGTGGGCAGTTACATAAAATGTGTTGGATGCCATGGGCTGACTTTTAATACAAGTTTAGCAGTTCAGGTCAGTAATAGGAATGGTTTATTCCTTGACATGTGTTTGTCTTAGGAACTGCAACTTCTGTGAGTGGTTATCTTCAGTTTTTGCTCCAGGGATTCATATACACGATAAATACAGTTCCTTACGGCTTAGTCTTATTTCCAGTTTTCCTGTAGGTAAGATTCCTGACTCAGCAAAGGTTCCTTTCACCTGAAAGTAAATGATGACGTCATGGCCCACCTTTGATGTTTTTTTGTTTATTTTGTCTGGATTGACGACAACAACACTGGAAACCCGAAAGCGGGGGTGTGGGTGGGGGGTTGGAGGGCGATGAGTGGATCAATGGACGCTGCTGGAAAGATGGATGACGCCGAAGCCAAAATCTCGGTCAGGAACGAACTGTTGTTCGTGCCCACTCCTATACACTTAGTTTCCTTTTCACTCTGATTCGTTAAGGTAATACAAATTGGATTCGGTACTGGGGCTACCACTGCAGCTACCCCATTCTTCGGGCAGGATGTCGTGTTTCATATGGGAAACACGGTTATGTTTGTTTTGTCCCCGTGACTGTCGACCGTTCTCACTCATGTGTGGGAAAACTAGGCACTGTATGTCTCTTTATAAACCAAACCAGTGTGTATCTTTGAAAGGGAAAGTTTTGGGTCGCGTTACACGTGCGCCAGAAAATTTCACACGACTGACGGGCGAAATGGGGGATATTTTGAAATCCTGCCTCTCTCACGTGCCTACCGGGCCCCTTGTACAGTACAAGCCGAAATCGGTTACGTTCAGCTTTTTGTTTGGTTGAGGATGAATAATCACTACACCCTCGTTCTCACCTTTCTCACCATCGCGCGCACTGTGTACAGTGCGAACAGCTAGCGCGATGGTGCCCCTAACTGTTTCACAGGCAATTGTGAAGGTGGCGACAAACCAGGGTTGAGGTGGCAAAATCAAACAGTGTCCGCGCATTGCAAATGGCAAAATGATACAGTAACAGTAAATTGCAAATTGCAGGTGCCCTGTCATTGTGATTTCGGTCGGTTCGTCTCATTCGTTTTTTTTATCAAGGCAACCAATCAGCTTTCAGAAATGTGAATTTGTCAGTTCGTGTTGTTCGATTGTCTTTGATTTCGGTCGACACTGCACTAACAGCATCCGAACTGTGTGCCTGGTGGTCAACGTTGTCAGACGTGCAGTCAACAAGATCGGCCAGCTGGCTGGTATGATTGAGGCGACAAATTGTGCTTGTATGCATTGTGATAAGACCTCCTTTGGTGCGTTGCTGTCAGTCAAAGCGTGGCGGTCAGTCTAACATATGCCAGTCTATCGAGAATGAGGGTGTACTCTCATCAGCTGTAAGTGTCAGCGATAAACAATTTCGAAGCACCCCAACCCAACAAAGTGCTGGATTGCTGACCTTGAAAAGCAGCTGAATCCCAGTGTGACCTCCTCCCTCCCTCCCTCCCCTCCCTCCCCTCCCTCCCCTCCATCCACACCAGATCCACTTTGATCACAATTCACGGGGTGTATAAATCAAGTGGTACACGTGTGTGAAGATAACATTCGTCAAGGTGCAACACGTTTCCAAAAGCTTTCAGTTTGTTTGTGAGGTTTACTGCTCGGTGCCTCGACAAACAAACTGATGTCGAGGGGTCACGGGCGAGAAACCTGCTTGCTTCACCCTTCAGCTGCTGTTGCGCCTTCCTTCCTTCACCCTTGCAACGAGGTTTCCATTTGGGCCAGCAAACATATCGTAATGTACCTACGGAGGTCTCACTGTCCCCATATGTTGATTGCACCACTTGCGTCGAGACGACAGGAACATCTATGTACAGCCTGTACTGTACTCATCAATGGTCGCCATCCGCCACACTCCCAGCAAACATTTAATGTTTAGGACCACAGTCCTAAGAGTGAGGCGGATCCAGCCAACAAGCCGATTGGGGCTGTCCGTGCTGTCATGCCGAGCAGCTTTTGTCGTTCTACACCTAGTCCGCGGTATTTTAACCACGTGAACTGTTTTGCTTCAAACACCCTTTGTTCATTTTCGGGTAACGAGATGGGCACCCAGAGACTTCAAGGCTATTGTTTCGCAGCCAGAAGCATTTCCTTCTAAAGAAACCCACACTTAGTGCTCCGAAATAGAGGGCGGATCGGCATTGACCAGGTTTTGACTGCCATCGCCTCACAAAGGGTATGCTAGATTCTACCCTCAATAAATTTCAAAACTACTCGTATAAAAAAGTTTGACCAAGGAGAAGTACCCTCGCGCGGTTAAGATAGCGGCGGTTAAAATACCGCGGACTAGGTGTACCCAGCAATGCTGTTTCCAAAGCCCCACTTTGCGGCGGATCATGGCTCCGCAGTGGTCAGCGGTTACTGGTGGTCACATTCGCTTCGCACATGATGCGCATCATGCTGTGGTGGACTCGCAGATCGCACCTCTTACTGACCCGGCAATATCCACGAAAGCGCAGCTCCGCGCGCGGAGTTTCTTTCCGCCAATGATTGGCGGGAAGAGTATTAGGTCAGAAGAGTTCGATTAGTCCGCTCCACGCGCAACAAGTTCGCTCCTTTCCGGGCGTATGATGTGTGCTTCGATTGCGCATGTCCAACCATTGGCCTGCCGCATCGGGCGGCGGTTAGGACTTGTGACTGGCATTTGCAACCCAGATTGAGGTCGCGGCGGCATAGTAGTGAAGTCAATGATCGTGGTCAGATTGATGGTCCCATAGTACTGTAGTCAAGAATCTCCGCTTATTCTTCGTCATCTCATCATGGATCAACCACATCATCTCTCACCTCAACCGTAATGAGAAGCCGTTTAACGAGAACGTCCGCGTCAGCCAGTCATATGAAGATTTCTCGTACTAGTAGAAATAGTACTAGCACCTGAGAAACGGGCCATCTAACCTTTCCCATGTCACCCTCGATCCTTGAACCAGATAACCCTTGGCTGGTAATTTAGTAATGCCCTCAAATCCCAGATTCTTCCCCCATTGACGTCTTTCCGCTTCCAAAGCTAGGCCATACCCTCTGAGTCAAGAGTCATCTGGTGCTATCATGAAATCTCATACTTGAATCCGCGGTTCCCAGGCCGAAAGCACTAAAAACCCGGCAGTACTGCAAACTGGCCGTTGTACGACCATTTTCACGCAGCGGCTTGCACAGAAGCCACATCATCTCATGGGTGTTGGCTCCTCAGCCACAGCATATATAACGCCGTCGGACATTATTTGCTGAGCCATATACTCCTGTAACACTCAGCTCACCCAGGGGGACGTCCAGCGACGTACAGTGATTCCCTGGTCCAGGTGGTATCCTGTGACATCCTGTGACATCCTGTGACATCCTGTGACATCCTGTGTCATTCAGTGACATCCTGTGACATTCAGTGACATCCTGTGTCATTCAGTGACATCCTGTGACATTCAGTGACATCCTGTGTCATTCAGTGACATCCTGTGACATTCAGTGACCTCCTGTGACATCCTGTTACCTGCTGCCTGCTGTCACGGGAACAGTGAGATGAACGGCTACGATGGATCACATCCACCGTCATATCATCCTGAATCGCAGCAATAGCAACAGCAAACAGCACCAACATCAGCATCAGCAGCAGAGGCAGCAGCAGCACCAACAGCAGCACCAAGAGCAGCGGCAGCAACAGCAGCAACAGCAGCAGCAGCAGCAGCAGCAACAGCAGCAACAGCAGCAACAGCAGCAACAGCAGCAACAGCAGAAACAGCAGCAACAGCAGCAACAGGGCCAACATTCCCATGCACTGTGCCGCAGCGGCTGCCAAGGCTGCGAGGGGTTTCGATGGCGAAAGGCATCGCACAAACGGATCGTTGGCCAGCAAGTGAAAAGGTACATTGAGTACGGCTAGAACCAGGCCCTTCACCCGTTCTCCCCCTCCTCCTTCTTGACACATTTCTTTGCTGGGTTGCTTTGGGGGATAAGCAACTCTAGGATAAGTGAGTGAGCAAACCTTGGGTTCTTTTTTCTGGGCTCTGTCAGCCAGACACACTCATACATGTCCGGATTCTGAAACCCAGAGTTTTTTAACCACTTTTTATTGTCCGTCTCTGCCGCCCTTCTCTGCTGCAGGATATATTATGTCTGTGCATTCAAGCAACTCACGGGCTGCCTGGCAAAAAAAACGGAGGACCGGGTGGCTGGGGAGGCCCGGCCTCGCCGCTACAAGCCGCGAGGCGCCGTCGCAAAGGCGAAAAGCTCTGCGAAGCATTCTTCTCCCACAAATCGCTCGCCACAACGAAGTGACAGTACAGGACGTGGCAGAACCGAGATGCGAGTGGTGGTGCGGACGGCGTACTCCGGCGCACATAACCACGCTCCGACATGCCATTGCGTTTCTCACACTCATGTTACTGTCATACCTGCTACAACCTCCCTACCTGGCACAGCCTCGCCGCCTGCTGCAACCTGCACTCCTGCTACAACCTCGCCTCCTTTTGCAACCGTTCCTCATGCTACAGCTTTCCCGCCTGGCACAACCTCCCCACCTGCTCCCAGCTTTTCTCCTGCTACAACCGCTCCTCCTGCTGTAACCTTTCCTCCTGTCAAAACCTTAACTTCTGCTACAACCTTCCCGCCTGCTGCGACTTTTCCTCCTATGGCAACCTTCCCTTCTGCTACAACTTCCCCTCATTCAATGACCTTTCTGCCTGCGACAACCTTCCCTCTTGCCACAACCTCCCCTCCAGCTACCATCTTTCCTCCTACTAGCACCCCCCTTCTTGCTACAGCTTTCCCTCCTGCCACAGCCTGTCATCCTGCCACAACCTGCCGTCCTGCTTCAACCCGCCTTCCTGCTACAACTCGCCCTCGTTCCATAACCTGCTCTCTTGCTATAACCTGCTCTCCTGCTATAACCTGCTCTCCTGCTACAACCTGCCGTCCTGCTACATCTCTTAACTCACAGTCAGACTCCTTCCTGCTAACTGCGGCTGGTACCAGCATCGTTGCTCCCCCTCGACTGCTTCAAAGCAGAAGCTTCCAGCCGCTCTCCGTCAATGCACCTGTTGCCGACCCTACAGCTGCAACATCACCGTTGGCAGCAGCAGCAGCAGCAGCAGCAGCAGCAGCAGCAGCAGCAGCAGCAGCAGCAGCAGCAGCAGCAGCAGCACCAGCAGCACCACCAGTGGCAGCAGCGACAACATCAGCAGCAAAGGCAGCAGCACCAGTTTCATTAGCACCAGTGCAATCGTCAGCATTGGTACCGAAAGCCGAGTATTCGACTCTTGCATCAGCAGTAAATGGAGCAGCAGCAGCAGCAGCAGCAGCAGCAGCAGTATCACTGACATCGTCAGCATTGGTACCGAAAGCCGAGTATTCGACTCTGGCATCAGTGAGAGCAACCGGCTGGAATGTCGCACTGCCTAACCTGAGCTACCTAGCTGGTACCCATGCTGCCACAGCAGGTTCTGCTGCTGGTGTTGCAGCAGGTTCTGCTGCTGGTTCTGCTACTGCTGCTGCTGATGCTGCTCCTGCTGGTGGCAACAACGCACCAGCAGCACAGGCTACTCCAGTGCCATTCCCAGCTGCTAGGGAAGTGGCATTCCCAAACGAGGTTGCTCAGGAGCAGCAGAGACTGCAGATGAGGCAGATGGGGCAGATGCAGGAGGGGAGACAGCCGGTTTTTGAGCAGTGTCAGACGCCTGTTGGCCCCAAAGCAGTCGAATCCGTGAGTTCTTTGGATCAGCGCAGGGGAGTGCAAGTGCAGCACATGCAGCAGCTTAGGTTCGACATGTGGCAGAACCCAAGCGCACTCGCTTACGTGCACCAGAGTCCTCATGTGCACCAGAGTCCTCACGTGCACCAGAGTCCTCACGTGCACCAGAGTCCTCACGTGCACCAGAGTCCTCACGTGCACCAGAGTTCTCACGTGCACCAGAGTCCTCACGTGCAGCAGAGTCCTCACGTGCACCAGAGTCCTCACGTGCACCAGAGTCCTCACGTGCACCAGAGTCCTCCCGTGCACCAGAGTCCTCCCGTGCAGCAACTTCCTCCCGTGCAGCAACTTCCTCACGTGCAGCAGAGTCCTCACCCGATCCACCAGTTGCAACAGCCGAGCTTTGAGACGCCTCATGCATCTGCCGCCACACGCACATTTGCCACCGTGCCTGCTTCAGTGCCACACGAGAACCCGCAATCGACGCAGATGCAAGGTGCTGCAGTTCAGGACATGATGGGGTTCTCCTTTCTCCGAATAGAAGGGCAGCAGAGCCTGCAGCAACCGATGCAGCAGCACACTCAGCAGCCAGTGCAGACGAGCCAGAAGCGTCAGTGTCGGTTGCAGGAGCAGGAGAAACATCAGCATCCACAGGTGCAGGTTCAGCAGCAGTACAAGCAGCAGCCGCAACAGCTGCAGCAAGAGCAGCGGCACTGGCAACAGCAGAAGCAGCAGCATCAAGAGCAGTGGCAATGGCGACAGCGGCAACAGCAGCTGCAGCAGCAGCGGCAGCAGCAGCAGCAACAAGAACAGTGGCAGCGACAACATCAGAACCAACAGCAACAGTGGCAGCACCAGCAACAGCAGCAGGAGGCACAACAACAGCAGCAGCATATGCAGTCGTCCCTTCTGTGCACTGAAGATCTTGAAGGCCAACAGCCAGCATGTGCTCCTGGTGGGCTTGCTCCCACCACGGATGTCATCACTGGCATTACTAACGTCACCACTGGCATCACTGACGTCACCACTGGCATCACTGACGTCACCACTGGCATCACTGACGTCACCACTGGCATCACTGACGTCACCGCTGGCATAACTGACGTCACCACGGCTGTCACTGACGTCACGGCTGGTGTGAAGGACGTAACACTTCATGTTCTTGCTGCAACAGTTGCACACATTCCCACGGTTACCACAGGCGCACTTGCTGTTACCGCATGCATCTCAGATCCTCCTTCTTACGGCTACAGTGAAGCAGCCTACAAGGCTCACCCAACTGCTGATCCTTCTGGCCTGCCAGCAGCGTTCCATTCTGTCTCTGCTGCTCCTGTAGCTGACTCTGGTGTTACAAGCAATGGGGTTGGTGTTACCAGCAATGGCGTTGGTGTTACCACTGAAGCTTATGATATTCTTGGCCCTGAGTTTACTATTCCTCCTTGGGGGTGCGACCCTTGTGCTGGTTCTGGTAATTGTCCGCCTGCCAAGGATGAACCAGTTTGTCAAAGCGAGGCTTGGATGGATCCACCAAATAATGTTGTTGTCACGTCAGCGGCACTCAATGGTGCTGACGTGTCAGCATGTGGTGGTGTCTCCACGTCGGGGTGTGGAGCCACTGCCTTTCTGCAGATGCCAAGCGAGGAACTCAGGGATGGCCGTCTGCAGCACATGTCCCACTCTCAGCAGCATTTGCAGTGTTATCAGCCACAGCAGCAGCACCTTCACCAAGCTGTTTCGGTCGAAGCAGCAGGTTACATGGTGGATGGTGGGGCCAGCAGAAACCGCAGGAATAGCAGCAGCTGGAGCTGCACCCACAGCAGCACTATCGATCCCGTGGAACCTGGAACTGGTCTCGTGGGTGTTACTTGTAACGACTTTGCCAGCACTTTGATGCACGATCGGATCGTTCGCCGTAACAGCACTACCAGCAGCGGCGGCAGCATGAGCAGTCTGGGTTGGTCTGTGGCGGGATCATCACCGCATGATGAGGCTGATGTGGGCGAACGATTGGAATTGGAAACTTCCGTTGCAGACATGTCATTGGCTGAGCTCTACTTGGCTCAACAAGTCATCAGCATACCGTATTACCCCGGATAGTAGCGCATATGCGCTTAGAATAAAATCAGTTTTTTTAAGGGGGGCGCTTGTAATTGAATATCAGCCATAAGCGCCGGCGCTTATATAATGACAAATACAGAAATATGACTTCAACGCACCAAATTGTACATTTCGGTCTCGTAAGTTGAATCGAATCGAAATTTTACAGGGTCCAGAATCAGAATCGCGCGAGGGCGATTCTCTGACGGTGCACAGAGCTTTGGCACGTGATTTTGCCAGCGTGCCAGCTCATACTGACTGGACGCGCAACCAGTAGGTCCTCGAAAGTTAAACAATGTGAAAATGGGGTGTTGACTCGCTAGAAATTTGAAATTCGTTACCGTTTTAATCAGGATTGAAAAATAAAATTTGCATGCGCTTATAATATATCAGGGTTTTACAGGGGGGGCGCTTATAATCGAATTCTTGCCATAAGCGCCATGCTCCAGATAGAAGCGCCTATATCCGGGGCCATACGGTATGCCAAGTCACAGTCCAGGATTACCACGATCCCGAAGCGATGTGCACACTTGTTGTGCAGGGTTGTGATAATATTGATAGTATATTGTCTGATTGTCTTGAAGATGAGATTAAGTAGTCGCGATGTGAGGTGTTGTTTTTGTGCATAAGCAAGAGCCTATAGTAGGTTCGCTAGCGTAGTGTACAAGTGTGTTTTAGTATAGCAGTGTGATGGATGCGATTCGTGTGAACGTCCAAAAACACTTTGGGGCAGCAAATATGATTGGGCAGGGAAAGAAACAGGAAACGGGTGTTTTACGAATAGTAAAAGATGAAGTGTTACTGTGCACTCGTGACAGCAGCAATCGAAGCACGAAGTACCGAGTCTGAAGACGAAAGGGCGGAAGTGACACGAAGGATCGTACGGTTACGAAGCACCTGGACCGTCAGGCCAGACAGCATCAGACAACAGCAGTGGCGAGGATTCTGCCCAGGCAATTCGTAACCGTCTGGAGTCGCACGGTTGAGTTTTGTTGTCATAAGGGAATGTACCCCTTAGAGTACATGGCCAACTATGTCGTTTCGTATTCCACCCTGTACTCTTATTTATATGCCTGTATTTGCATGTTTTTATCATCTCAATCATTTTACATCCACTCTGAATTGAGGTCAAGGGCCCACCACCACTACTCAGTCGTGTGCGAACCTTCCTTAGGAGATCCTAGGGACGATCAACTTCTGATCGCAGCATGGATGGCTAGTTGCAACCTGACCGATTTTCACTGGTGGGAATTGGTGAATGATTGTAAGGGATTGAGCATCTCGTCTCATTGTGTACATCACTGTACACCGGGCTTCGACCGTTCTTTGCCCGTTACCAGCCCCCAGTGTTCGTTGCTGTGAGGATTTACAAATCCTTACTGCAGCACTCGTTAGCGAGTCCATCCCGAGGGTCACGCGACCCTCACGTTCGGCCTACAATTCCGCGCCCAAACCTCATCGAGCCGCCTCCGCACCAATCGCGACCTTTCGCGAGCCAGCCTTACCCGACCTCCCTATTTAGTCGTGCGGTTTTCCCCTATTTAGTCGTGCCATTTTCCTTGTATCGGCATTTAGTAGTTTGACATTCTCGATATTCGTTATTCTGCGCACTCTGCAAGTTCATTCATAACAGTTGCACCCCGCTCCAACTTTTGCCAAACCACACCTACACTTCGGGACTAGCCCCAGCCTGGCATTCCATAGCCTGCCCTTCGTAATTCTGCTATGAAGTGCTCGCTCTTGCCTTCACTAACACTCTACTATTTCCTTGATTCCTTGATGTAATCCTCGTTTTGCTCCCTACATTGCACACGTAACACTTGGTTATGAGAGCATTCGTCATTTCGGACCATACACTTGCTTCCAGCGCGTCTCATCAATTTTGTATTTGAATGAGCGAACGCTTCTCAGCGCACTAGAGCCCGCTGTCTTCGTGCGCTCTCGCAAGCACGCACATCTTCGTGCTCTCTCTAGGCAAAGCCGACGGCCTTCGGGAATGGACTGCATCAATCTCACCTAACTCATGCATGAGGGCCTGGAAGAGCTCATGCATCAACTGTTTTGGACTAGTTTTTGGGCTGCAAAACAATTGGGCAGGGTAAAAAAAAAGGTGGGGAAGGGGGGGGGGAGCGGGTTGGGGGGGGGAGGGGGAATAGTGGGGGGGTGGTGGAGGGCTAGTGGAGGACTATTCTTGCAAGATGGTAGGACAGGCTGAACTGTAGTGCGAGGGTGAGCACGAGGGTGACCGCGAGGGTGAGAGCGTGGGTGAGTGTGCCGGTAAGTGTGAGGGTGATTGCGAGGGTGCGTGCGAGGTGAGTGCGAGGGTGAGAGCGAAGGCAAATGCGAGGGTGCGTGTGAGGGTAAGTGCATGGCTGATTGCGAGGGTGAGAGCGAGGGTGAGTGCGAGGGTGAGAGGGAAGGTGAGAGAGAGGGCGAGTGTGTAGGTGAGTGCGATGGTGAGAGCAAGGGTGGGTGGAAGGGTGAGTACAAGGGTGAGTGCGAGGGTGAGCGTGGGTGCAAGGGTGAGCATGAGGGTGAGAGCGAGGGTGAGTGCGAGGGTGAGAGCGAGTGTGAGAGAGAGGGTAAATGTGAGGGTGAGTGCATGGGTGAGTGTGAGTGTGAGTCCATGACTGAGTGCGAGGTGAAAGTGAGGGTAAGAACAAGGGTGAGAGAGAGGGTAAGTGCATGGGTGAGTGCGTGGTTGAGGTGCGAGGATGTGACTGAAGGTGAGCGGGAGGGTGAGTGCGAGGGCGAGAGAGAGGTTGATCGCGATGGTGAGTGCGAGGGTGAGTGCAAGGGTGAGTGCGAGGCCCATAGTCCATGACATCCGCGTTATTGGCTTTGAGTTATGTTCTCACTAGTCCCACTGCTTCCTCTGTTCCTTGTCCTTCTCTCTTCCTCAGGGATGGTCAGAAGGGTGGTGAATTACAACATCCGCGTTATCGGCCCCGCGCAAAGACCTTCCGCCATCAATCTCCTCGTTGACTACCCCGGACCGTCCTCGTTATAAGCCACCTCGTTACAAGCCACCTCGTTACAAGTCGCCTCGTTACAGTGTCACTCGTAGGGGGAGTTGAAACCGCAGATGTGGCGGGCGCAGTGCAGCAGCAGATGGAGCAGCGGAAGTAACGGTGACTTGTCGCATGGAGAATTGCCGTTTGAGACGTCTCAAAAGTCATTCCCTCTAGGAAACATGTCTAAGGGCGTGTTCAATCGATTTGCTCACTTCACCGTGGACGGCGAGAGGTCTCCCAGTGTCACCGTGCTATCAGTGGTGATCGGTGCATTTGGCAAGTCAGTTGTGGGAGCCATTGAAGCTGGGTCGCTGGTAGGGGACATAATTTGGAGGGCGCCACTTGGGGGGGTGGAGCAAAGGGAGAAGTTGAGGAAGTAGCAGGGGGAGCAGCAGAGGGAGCAGCAGGGGGAGCAACAGAGGGACCAGTAGGGGGAGCAGCAGAGCGAGCCGCAGGGGGAGCAGCTGAGGGAGCAGCATGGGGGGCAGAAGGAGGAGCAGTACGGGGAGCAGCAGAGTGAGCAGAGTGACATTGGAGCTTCTGCAACCATGGCTGCTGCTTCTCTCTCAGTCTCTGCTGCCAGTGCTCCTTTCGGTACGGATGTAGGTAATGCTACTGAGCGTGATGATGCTGCTGAGAGTGCTGAGGCTGTCGAGGGTGCTGCGTCAGCTATTGTGGCCACGTGTAGAGGCTCTGAGTTTCCCTGTGCTAGTGGCTGTGAGCTTAGCACCTACCTCGACCAATTCGATGTTACGGGCATCCTTGTTCGTGGTCGCACTTTTAGCAACATGAACGAGGGTGAGATTTCTACTGACATCGAGAGGGCTTCTAACAAGGATGAAGAGGAAACGGCTGAGAATGCTGAAAATGCAAGGGGTGTGGTAGGACGGGAGAAGGCTAGGAGCAGAGGCAGGAGCAGAGGCAGGAGCAGAGACAGGAGCAGACGGAGAAACAGAGGCAGGAGCAATGTTCATGCCGAGTCCTCCTGTGGCCCACAGGCTCTCCCGCACGCCACGCCTGCCCCAGCTGCCACATATGCCTTATAAGCATCGTTTCAGTGTGTGGTAGGAGCAGTTTTGTTGGGGAACTAGGTGATGCTGCGAGTGCGTTTGAAGCGTGTTGAAGGAGTACATGTGTTGAGTGTATACATTGGCCTGCATTACGTTGGACTGCCATCGAGTTTTCCTTGGGAAGATATTGAAACTCGTGACCTTATACTGTACAGTGATTTCGAATCCCGGACAATATATATATATATATATACATATATATGGACTGCCGAAACACCCAATCCTTCCACTTGTTAAGGGCTGATGCATGCCAGCTACACACAGATACACTCTCTGATGAAGGTTACCACTGGATCTGATTATTGTATAGGCTATTTGAAAGCACTTCACAAAATGTCATCCAGAACTATCCATCGGATTCCATTTCCTATATAGAGGAAATGAAAGTAAGCGACACCCGCAATGCTGGGTAATGCAACTGCTCAAAACGCTACAGTTCAACAATTACACCTGATGCCCGTTTGAGTCCCCCCTACTTGGGTTGTGCTCTGGGCTTATAAACGTTTTGGACATTGCGCCCAGTTCGTTCAATTTCGCCAGGGTGTTGAGGTGCTTCTAAAAAACACAGGTTGTAACTCATTTGCTTTTTCCAAAACAGTGCTGGTGGGCCTGTGTTGTTGTTAGTTCAGGGTTTAGGGTTTATGCTCGTTGCTGGCCAAGAAACAAGAACAAACCGGGTCAGCATGGTTTGTTTTGCGCCTAAGATTCATACTTTGGCGTTTTCTCGCCCAAATGCAAGTTGATCCGCGTGCCTATACCCTGGGTGCAACTGACCGGGAAAAAAATCACGGGTGCAGAGTTTCTGAAATGTGAAAGGAAAATTCGCGCGCAGTGGTTGGGCATCATGTGTATCGGCCCGAAGCACCCTCCCACTTCAACAAGGCACCCTGATGGTCCTGAAGTTTGCTTGTCATCAAAGTTTGGCCATGAAAACAAATCCCTGCCCTGAGTGTGCAACCTGTGTGTGCAGTGCACCCTCCACCATCAACACGAATCTGGAAACTCTTGGTCCAAACGGGCGAAAACATTGCACGACAATTTCTTGCAACTGCGACCGTCCGCAATTGCATGCAGCGACACACTAGACGTTTGTAACACAATGGAAGATCATCGTTCAGGGCTTAGGGTCGCAACCGTTTGTTATGCTGAATCCTCATTGGAGGAAAATGCGGTTGAACAGTAAATACCGGCAGCCCCTGCGATGGTGGTGAGGTCGCAGGACACGTGTCACATGATGGCTGGTGGGTTGCTACACACATAACTGGGGGCCATTTTGGCCGGATGGCGCGAGGACAACTCTTTGATCGCGTCGCGACCCTAGTGTACAGTACACGCAGGTGATGCGCAGTGAACTGACGAATCACGATCCATCCCTTCCATCCAGCCTCGCCAGAACCTCTTCTGATCAGGAACAAGTCATATTTTAGGAGTTGTCATGGTGTGTGTATGACATCCGTCAAGGTGCAACACGGTCCTATAGCTTTTCGTAAGTTTCGTGATGTTTCCTGCTCGGTGCCTTTATATATCCGTTGGATGTCGACGGATGCTGCCGATGTCAGAGGAGAGACAGAGGAGGAAGCTACTTCACCCAACCCAAAAATATCACAAATCCCCCTTCTACAGGCACCTCAGGCACCCTCTTTCTCTCTCTTGCTCTCGTCGACGAGATTCGATGTTTCGTCATCCAGATTCCACCACATCTCTCTCTCAGCAAGGCATCGTCGACGACATGTTTCTACAGAACCTCGCCTTTGCCCCTGTCCCCAGGTGTTGATAGCACCACTTGCATCTTGTCCCATTTCCGGCGGACCTTCGGTTGCCTCTTTATTGTTAGGACCACAGTCCTGATACGAATGCGGCGGATTTAGCCCACCAACCACGCCACGTTGCTAGTTCAACAAGTTGTGAGTCCGTGATGCCGAGCAGCTTTGTCGTTGCTTACCGAGCAATGCTGTTCCCTCAACCAACCCAACCCAAGACCCTCTTTTCGGATCAGTCATTGGTTCCGGGTGTCACCCTTCGCACATGTGGATGCTGTGCGCCTGCAGATACTGGCATGCTCCCAAAGCGCAGCTCCGCGCGCGGCTGCATTTCCCGCCAATATTAGGTCAGGAAGGATTCGATTAGTAGTCCAACGGGACCCATCGGTTAACATCATGCATGATGATCATGCACGAAATGGCCTGCATCGGGCGGTATGCTGGGACTTTTGTGAGTGACATTGCAACCCAGAAAGATGAGCTGTCACATGGTAGTCATCCTGGTCAGATTGATGGTCCCGGATTGATGCTCGACGTTCATATCTCGTGTTTATTATCTCACCTCGATCTTAGGATTGGTTTCCGTCGCTTTTGCCTCAACCGCCATGATAACGTGCTATCCAGTGTCTCGGGGATTCCTCGTACTACTGGATGAAGTGTATCAGGAGGAACGCTTCGATCTAACCCTTCCAAGTCACGCTCACTCGATTTCTGATCCCAGTCGTATATCAAATTCGTCCGCCATAGTCGTCTTTCCGCTTCCAAAGCTGGTCCAAGTTCGTCAGAGCCATCGGGTACTATAGTACCGTTAGGACTGTTGTAAGTGAGTGAAATCTCCGCCAACTCCGAGGCCCATTTTCCGCAAGAAGCGGCTTCTGACAGCAACCGCATCCCATGTACATGCGGCTTTGTTTGAATCCTCAGCATCTTGCGTATCCGCTGAGTCATCCTCTGACATTCGGTTGGCGCCAGTGACATCCACTGACGCCTGGTGATCCATTGACCTTCTGTGACATCCAGTGATTTTCTGTGACACCCAGTGACCTCCTGTGACACTCAGTGACCTCCTGTGACATCCAGTGACCGCCTGTGACATACAGCGAGCTCCTGTGTTATTCAGGACCTCTTGTGAAATCAGCGACTTCATTGACCTCCTGTGACCCAGTGACCTCCTGAGATTCCAGTGACATCCAGCAACATCCAGCGACATTCAGTGACCTCCTGTGACATCAGGAACATCCGTGATATTCGGCTGCGTGCTGCTACGGGAGCAGTGAGATGAACGGTTATGATGGATCACATCCATCATCATATCATCATGATCCGCAGCGTCACCAGCACCAGCACGAGCAGCAGCAGCAGCACCAACCCCAGCAGGACCAGCACCAGCACCAGCAGCAACAGCAGCAGCACGAGCACCAGCAGCAGCAGGACCAGGAGTTCCATGCAGCACTGTGCAACGGTTGTCAAGGCTGCGAAGGGTTTAGATGGCGAAAGGCATCGCACAAACGGATCGTTGGCCAGCAAGTGAAAAGGTACTATTGGTGCCTCTGGTACCTTCGCTACTGCTGTTTCTAATGGTAGCATTACTAGTACCTTGGATAGGGCTAGTACCAGTCCCACCACCCCTCTTCTCCCTCCGCCCTCGTTTAACGCTATTATGCTGGATATGCAACTCTGAAGTGAGCCGCCATTGGGCTTTTCTTGAGCTTGTCAGTCAGGGTAGCAGATTCACTTATTCCAGGGTTTCTGATCCAAAGAATGTATCTAACGCGCGCGCCATTTTCCCGCCCCTCTCTGCCGCAGGATCTACTTTGTCTGCGCATTCAAGCAACTCACGGGCTGCCCGGCAAAAAAAACGGAGGACCGAGTGGCTGGGGAGGCCCGGCCTCGCCGGTACAAGCCTCAAGGCGCCATCGCAAAGGCGAAAAGCTCTGCGAAACATTCTTCTTCCACAAACCATTCGGCTCCAGGGAGTGACAGTTCAGGGCGTGACAGAACAGAGATGCGAGTGGTGGTGCGGACGGCGTTTTCCGGCGCACATAACCACGCTCCGACATGCCAATGCCTACCTCACACTCATATGACTGTCATGTCACGCCTGCTACAACCTTCCCTCTTGCTACAGTCTCCCCTCCTGGTACAGCCTTGCCTCCTGTTGCAACCGTCCCTCTTGCTACAGATTTACCCCCTGCTACAACCGTCCCTCATGCTACAGATTTCCGTCTTGCTACAGATACCCCCCCTGGCACAACCTCCCCGCCTTCTGCAAGCTCGTCTCCTGCTACGACCGTCCCTTCTGCTGCAATTTTTCCTCCTATGACAACCTTCCCTTCAGCTACAACTTCCGCTCCTGTTACGACCTTTCTTCCTGCTACAACCTTCCCTCCCGCTAAAACTTTGTCTTCTGCTACAGCCTCCCCTACTTCCCCTTTTGCCACAACCTCTTCTACTGCCACAATCTTCCCTCCTACTAGAACCGTCCCTCTTGCTGCTGCTTTCGCTCCTGCTACAAGCTGCATTCCTGCTACCATTTACCCTCCTGCTACAACCTGCCCTCCTGCTACAACCTGCCCTCCTTCTAGATCCCTCCTAGTACCCTCTCGCACCAGCACCGTTGCACCTTCGCCCTTTCTTCGACCCGAAAGCTTCCAACCACTTTCCTTCCATCCACCCCTTGCCATACCTGCAGCAGCAACGTCAGCATCAGTAAGCTTCCAGCCACTTTCCTTCCATGCACCTGTTGCCGTCCCTGCAGCACCAGCACCACTGGCAGCGGTGACATCAGCAGCAGCGGTGACATCAGCACCATCGGTAACCGGAACCATGCACTCAACGTTAGCGTCACTGAAAGCAACCGGCTGGAATGTCGCACTACCTAATCTAACCTCTCTCGTTGGTAACCATGCAACTGCTGCTGCAGCAGCAGCTGCTGCTTCCCCTGGTGCTGCAGCAGGTTCTGCTGCTGCTGTTCCTGCTGCTGGTGATAACAGCGCACCGGCTGCTCCTGCGGATCCGGTGCCATTTCCCGCTGCTGGGGGAATAAAATCTGCACACGAGATTGCTCAGGGACAGCAGGGATTGCAAATAAGGCACATGGGACACATGGGGCACATGGGGCACATTGGGCAGATGGGGCAGATGGGGCAGATGCAAGAGGCAAGACAGCCGACTCTTGAGCCGTCTCAGACGCCTGTTGCCAAAAATGCAGTCAACTACGTGAGTGCTTTGGATGAGCGCGGGGGAGTGCAAGGGCAGCAGATGCAACAGCTTAGGTGCGATGTGTGGCAGCAGAACCCTAGTGCAGCCGCTGACGCGGTTGCTCTGGAACAGCAGGGCGGCCCTCGGTTTCAGCAGATGCAGCAGGTGCAGCAGCAGAAGCACCCACAGCAGCCAGTGTTGCAGCAGAGTCCTCACGTGAAGCAGATGCAAGGTGCGGTACTGGGGGACACGGGGTTTTCCTTGCACCGACTGTACGAGCAGCAGAGCCTGCAGCAACCGATGCACCAGCACCCACAGCAGCCGGTGCAGCAGCACTCTCAGCAGCGCCTGCAGCAGCCATTGCAGCAGAACCAGAAATGTCATTGTCGGTTGCAGGAGCAGGAGCTGCACCAGCATCCACAACTGCAGGTTCAGCAGCAGTACCAGCAGCAGCAGCAGCAGCAGCAGCAGCAGCAGCAGCAGCAGCAGCAGCAGCAGCAATTGCAGCAGCAGCAGCAGCAGCAGCAGCAGCAATTGCAGCAACAGCAACAGCAACAGGAGCAGTGGCAACCACAACAGCAGCAGCAGCAGCAGCAGCAGCAGCAGCAGCAGCAGCTCCAGTATCACTGCCAGCAGCAGCAGCAGCAGCAATACGAGCAGTGGCAACAGCAACAGCAGCACCAGCAGCAACAGAAGCAGCACCAGCAGCTGCAGCAACAGGAGCAGTGGCAACGGCAACAGAGGCAGCAGCAGCAGCAGCAGCAGCAGCAGCAGCAGCAGCAGCAGCAGCAGCAGCAGCAGCAGCAGCAGCAGCAGCAGCAGCAGCAGCAGCACCAGCAGCAGGAGCACCACCAACAGTGGCAGCAGCAGCAGCAGCAGCGCCACCAGCAGCAGGAGCAGCAACAGCAGCAACAACAGCAGCAACAGCAACATCAACAGCAGCAGCAGCAGCAGCAGCAGCAGCAGCAGCAGCAGCAGCAGCAGCAGCAGCAGCAGCAGCAGCAGCAGCAGCAGCAGCAGCAGCAGCAGCAGCAGCAGCAGGGGGAGCAACAGCAACAGCTGCAGCAGCATCATCATCAGCAGCAGCAACAACAACAGCAGCAGCAACTGCCGCAACAACAGCATGAGCAACAACAGCAACAGCAACAGCAGCAGCAGCAGCAACAGCAGCAGCAGCAACAGCAGTGCATGCAGGCAACTCTTCTGTGCAATGAGAAGCTCGAAGGCCAACGGGCAGCATGCGCTGCTTGTGTACTTACTCCCACCACTGGTGTCATTGATGTCACCACTGATGTCACCACTGATGTCACCACTGATGTCACCACTGATGTCACCACTGGTGTCACCACTGATGTCACCACTGGTGTCACCACTGGTGTTACCACTGGTGTCACCACTGGTGTTACCGACGTACGCAGTGACTCTATTGCTGCAACAGTTGCGCACATTTCTGCGGTTACCACATTCACACTTGCGGTTACCGCGTGCACCTCGGATGCACCGTCACGCGGCTACAGTGAAGCAGCCTATACAGCTAATGCAACTGATAAGCCTTCTGGGCTGCCAGCGGGCTTCCATTCTCTTTCTGCTGCGCCTGCGGCTGACTCAGGTGTTACGAGCAATGGGCTTGGTGTCACCAGCAATGACCTTGGTGTTACCACTACTGAAGCTGATGTTATTCCTGGCCCTGAGCTTTCTATTCCCCCTTGGGGTTGCGCCCCTTGTGCTAATTATGGTACCCGCCCACCTGCCACGCATGAACCAGTTTTTCAGCGCGATGCTCAGATGGGTCCACCAAATGATGTCGTTGCCACGCCAGCACTCAATGGTGCTGATGTGTCAGCATGTGGTGGTGTCGCCACGTCAGGGTGTGAGACCACTGACTTTCAGCAGCAGACAGCATCGTGGAAGCAGATGTCTAGCGTGGAACTCAGGGATTGTCGCCTGCAACACATGTCCCACTCCCAGCAGTATTTGCTGCAGCGTTACCAGCCACAACACCAGCTTCGGCAAACTATTTCGGTCGAAGCAGCAACTTACATGGGGGATGGTGGGGCCAGCAGCAAGATCTGTGAGAACAGCAGCAGCAGGAGCTGCACCCACAGTAACAGCAGCGATGCCAAGGAACCTGGCACGTGCCATAATGGTCTGTTGGGTGTTACCCGCAACGATTTTGCCAGCACTTTGACGTATGATCGGATCGTTAGACGTAACAGCACTACCAGCAGTGGTGGCAGCATGAGCAGTTTGAGTTGCTCTGTGGCCGGATCATCGCCATATGAAGAATCGGTCGATGTGGGCGAACGTTTGGAAGCTTCTGTTGCTGATGTGTCGTTGGATGAGCTGTACTTGGCTCAAGGAGACATCAGCATGTGCCGAGTACCTGCCCAGGATTTTGACAACCCAGAGCTGATGTGCACGCTTGTCGTGCAGGGTTGCGACAATATTGATCATATTTTGTCAGATTTTGTAGGAGATGAGATTAAGTAACGTAATGTGGGCCACTGTTTTTTTGTGCATCAAGAATGCACGAGGTGCAGATATCTTGGGTTCTGTAGCCTGATGTAAAAGGGCGTATTTGAGTGTATCTATCTTCAAGGATAGCAATGTAAGTACCATATCTTCAGATGAGGCTTGCCCTCTCATGAGTTCCTGTATAGAGAGAATGGTTGAGGTCTTCGACTGCTTCTCATAAAGGATATGGTTACCGAGCCCTCACGTGTAACACGTGAGTTGCCAACCAAATTGGGTCAAATTCCGCTGAAAGTCATGCTTGGTTTCCCGCAATGCCTTGATCCAGGTCAGCTCACATGGGAAGTGACGCATTGGCTGATATCCAGCGTCAGCAATTTGTGAAACTCATGCTTATTGGATAAGTCCACCTCACGGCGCACGCACGCTTTTCCCGTGCATCTGACTTTGTTGCAAGATCAACCAATAGTCGACGACCTCGTGGACATCTCGAGTTTTCGACCACTCGGGCTTGATTGACGCCTTGCCTGCTGCAGCCTTGTTTTCATCTCGCCTCACCACCACATTCTGCATGTGTAAAGCAAGTCCCCCGCATGCGCGAAGCAAATGTTGTCCCGCACGAGTTCGTCGGTTTCCGCGCATGGATAGAGAAACCCTTCTCGCCTTGTGTTTGCCGCACCGCCATTTTCTCGAGACATAACGGCTGTAGATGGGAAACCCCTACCGTGCGTCCAGCAGCTTTTCCGAGCACCACCTTGTCTTCTGCCCAGAAATACCTTTTTTTATGGGATAGGTTCCAGTATTACTTTCAGACAAACCCCTTTTGATGTGACTTTCACACTCCTGAAGCCACCTTGAAACACTGGGGGGAAGAACCTCTGAATCCATTCGTCAAATGGGATAATACCAATTATGATGAGCCAATTCTACATCGAACCTCCGCGCAAATTCCAGAAGCTTTCCCCCTCCGCGTTCCCCTCCCCACTCCCCCTTCCATGTCCCCCTTCCATCACCTCCGATGGACAGACACCCCCTCAGCGGACCTCCGTTGCAACTCTCCCACCTCTTTTCCGTTACGTCGCTCACACCGATTTACTATAAGAACCTCGGCAGTATGGAGGTAAGCATTCTCAGAGACCAAGAGTGCGAATTGAAAGAATTTGGGTTGCAGCTCGCCGTGTGCTCGAACTCCCCATTTTCGTTTCTTACTCAACGGTCGAGGGGTCACCTCTCGCGCGGCTACTTCCGTCTTGCGAGGGCTTGCTATTCAAGCTGACTTCATCAATCGAGCTTCTTCGTCGCTTCTACAAGAATGAGTTTCATCGAGAAGGTCTGGAGTGAAGTCATGGGAAGCTCCCCGCAGCTCCCTTCATCCTTGGACAAGAGCATCTCAATTTCTCCTAGAAGCTCTCTGGAACGTTACGACAGTGCGGGAAGCCCGCTTTCCCCTTCGAATGAAGGCCCATATCATGGTACGCAAGCCAAAATTGCAAATGGAGGACGTGCTGTTCCGCTTTCGCTATGACACCGTCTGATTTATGCTGAATTGTCCGTCAATTTTGCTCAATTCATCTATTCTTGCGTTTTGCATTGGATGCAGGAATTCCACCACTGAATCTCGACGAGCGGCGTAAGAGCGCGGATATGGCGTCTGACGGTCGGACAGTGATGCCGAGAATCACCAAGAGCATCTCCATTGCTACACATCAGCCAAAGACGGCTCGCCGGCTCGACACGTCTCGTTCTCTGCCAGCTCACTACGACACTGGCCTTTCCAACTTGCCTTCCCCCGGTACGTTCCACTGCGACCCCTCTGTTATTCTACTGAATTGATGTACTTACGTTCGTATTTCACACGGTTTTCTTGAATTGCACCTGACTGACGTTTCGTCTCGTTTCTTACGTCATGGGTGGATCTTAATTATTACAGCGTCACGCAAGGGAGAGAACGTCTGGCGCAGTGTGTTTCACCCTGGAAGCAACAAGGCTGGGATGGACCGCGTTGGTGCTACCAGATTTGACAAGGCTAGCTCGTCGGAGCCGTCCGTGTTCGACTGGTATAATCCGCTCACGATCTGAGCGTCCAGACCCCTGACGCAATGTAATGTCTTATGGGCTCCCTGTTTTTGCGTTCTGATGTTCGTTATATCCGTGTCATTCTTTTGTTCCGTTTTACGTTCCTGATACCGTTCTTAGCTATGCTAAGTGATTTTTTCATTTCTGATGTTATTCGCCTTGTTTTACTTTCAGGATGTACAACCCCAAGACGAAGTCGCAGTACCGTTAGAGCAACGTCACAAGTGGAGATGCTTTTGCAGCTGACGAAGCGGACAACATGAAGTGACATTGGAACCTCACGAATTCCAATAAAGATTCGAGCGGTTTTTACGGCAGTGAATACTGGGGCTGAAAGCCCTATTGTACATTCTGTACATGTGCTGCCTGCGCCCTCTACTGCATCAACCAAGAGTTTTTTTTCAAGCTTCTGCTTCTGCTGCAATGGGGGATTCACCATCTTCACAGCTCGTCACCAAAAATCTCAAAACGTTGCTCGGTGCTGCTTCACACTGCGTTCAAACTTCCAGCTTCGCTTGCTTCTGCCATCATCTTCTGAGGGTGCAGATGGTGGACAAAGCGCTATTTCGCTTGTTCTGTCTTTCTGCTGAGTTCTCTCCTCAGGGTGCACCAGGATTTTCCATGGATTGGCCGCCTAAAAAGGCTCGTCCAGGAGCTGCGTTCATGGAGTGTGGATCTTGTGTGATGTGATGCTGGTGTGGCTAAGGGACGAAGTCCCTGGTGACCATCCTGCATTTTGTGCTGTAGATATCATCTTTGTAAAGAGTTGAAAATAAGAAAAATTGCTTCCAAAGTTCTCTATGGGTTCTGGGGTCACATTACAATTTATAAAGGGTTTACAAAAGGGATCCAGTAAGAGGGTATGCATTTTTCACGTCAGATATGGTATGGTTTTTCACTATTTCAAAGATTCACAACTCAAAACTGAGTTCCAAATAAGAGTAGTACACTGACGTTATAAATATCGTTAAACGAAACTACACTTTCTGCTCCTCTGAGCTCCAATTCTCCACCCCGAGCTCTCTGCCACAAGCACAGCCCTCCAAAAAGCAAGTTATTCTGCTGCAATCCCCGCCTTCTCCGCCAATCATGGCGGGCCTGACAGCTCAGCTCAGCAACACCCTTGTCGGGCCAGCTTCATCGGCCCGTACAGGTGGCTCCGTCAGCCTCTGCTCCCAGTTCGCGTCGACGAGTCGCGCCGCTGCCTCACCTTCCTCGTTTCTAGGAGTGCGAAGACGGGTACTGCCTACTGCGACCCCGCGAATTGCGGGTGAGAAATCTGGGAACTGCTGGGGTGGAGGGAGGCGGGGAAAGCTGAGATTGTACGCATTACGCGTCCTCCGTTCGCATGTTTTTATGACCGTTGCATTTCAGCCCCTGGTCTCTCCAGCTCCCCACGTGTTCAACACTCAGGCCGATTTTCGATTTCACTCCGCGGCGCCTTTTCCATTCATGATTTTCATTTCCTCTTTCATTACTTCCATCCTTTGGCCTCGTTCGTCGATTCGCCAGGACGATACCACTCGCGTCCTTCGCTCTGCTCGAAATGGCGACTCGGCGTTTCCGCTGCATCCGCCGCATCCGACGGCGGAAGCGGCGCTTACAGCAGCAGCTCCCCCGAGAATGCCGGACAGCTTGCGCCTAAACTAGGCGTAACTGGACAGGTCTTACCTGCAGAACCAGTGGGGGCAGTCTATAGCGGGGATGCGGATGCAGCAGCAGCGACTTCTAGGGCCAGTCGGCACCGTCCCGGGCAGATGGAATTCGTTCCCGGGCAGAAGGAGTTTCGTCCCACGAGAAACAGAGTGGTGGCATTGGCTGCAGGTACTTTCACAAAATGTCCTGGGTTTCGGGTTTAACCCCCTTCCTCCCCCCTCCTCTCCCCCACCCACGCGCACTC